ACACTCGTCTAGTTGGTGCTCTCTGTCCTTTCAGAGCTTGAAGGCTGTCAGATGGCATATGGCCCAACAGGTGTGTGTGTTGGAGGAGCAGGTATGCATGCCTCACCCTCTCCCATGCTGGTATGGGAGTTGCTGTGAGAGAACTGAGTCTTTAAAAAACAGTTTATTATCTTTAACAGAAGCTTAACTTTCTCTCTGTGAGGATGGCAGTTCTCCGTGGGCTTTAAAGCCCTTGTTCACTCCGAAGATGGGGAGACATTGATTCCCACTGAAGCAAAAGCTGTGATGTATCACTGCCCGTCTGCTTTTTCACGTCTTCAAGGGTTTTCTGCAGAGGATGCTTTCAGCTGCATCCCCACCTCCCACCCCCCACACCCCAGACGCCCTCCCAGAAGAAGTGAAGTCATTCAATCCTGTGAGAGAATGTGCACTATTGACCTCTGTGCATTAGCCTCTCTTTGTGCCACTCTCACTAAACTGATCCCTTGTTTTAAGAGCCGCCAGACAGCCATGATTCAGACTCTGGGTACTTAATCAAAGCGTCCATCTGGATTAACTCCAGCATTGCATATCTCCACACAGACAATAAATGATCTGCATTGTGTGACCACCAGAGCTGCAGCACAGGCTTAAGACACAGTGGGGAGATTAAGATCTTGAGGGGAATTCATGAGCTCTGAGACAACAGCGGGAAGGGCATCCACAGAACTGTTTTTCCCATGTTCACGTGGAGATCAGTGGACGATGGGCCAGTGAAGCTTTTTCTAAGGAGCCAGTTTCTTCAATGCCAAGATCAGCAAAATGTATGCAGAAAAGCTTTCCTTTACTCAGATAGACTGAGGTCTGTCAAGGTGAAAGCAAGTAAATAGCGATGACTTAAGTACAATCACGGAATAGTCAAAACAATGCAAACTTCCCATGGAAGGTTTATTAATGTACAGCATTGTCTTGTCACGATCGTAAGCCCCTCCTCTTAGCCCTTCCTTGTTTATTCTTTATCTCCTACACCTGCCTCTGGTTCCAGCCCCTGTCCTAGTCTTTTTTCCCATTGTTTTCTCACTCCCTTCTGGATTGTGCTGTCTGCATAGGGTCCTGAAAGACGCTTCGTGACATGTCTAAACTTTCGTAAAGCTTTAGAGTAGTGCATGTGCAGGGCATAAAAATGTACTGTACTTAGCCAGGCCCTTGGTTGTGCCGTACTCTTCCTCAACACTTTTCAGGGCTAGATTTTTGCAGACCTCTCTGATGTTGGTTTGAATTCACCTGAATTTGGGAAGGTCCTGAGGGCTTCGTCACATGCATTGATGACCTAGTGCTGAGTGACTTTGCATGAAATAATCTCAGGTATGCCTTTGCTGTGGGTTATTTTACTTGCGGTATTTTGTGTGGAGAATTTAATTTGTTTTATAACGGTTATAACCTACCAAATAAAAGCATCTCCAAATAGCTCTATAAATACAGTATATGCACATCCACACACTCCTAGGTACCACTCTGATGTCTGATGGAGGACACCACTGGTATTGAGAGGAGTCTAGTTGTGTTTTAGTCATTACTCTCTACAGACATTTGGATCCGAAATGCTGCTGTCGGAGCCCGTCTGGCAGTGAGACAAAGACAGAGGCACAGAGTTATTACTGAGAAGTCATGACTTCCTAATGGCATTTTCTGGCTCTTATCTTGAGAGTTATCACCATTACAGACGCTGCACTCCATTGATTTTTCATTCTGCAATTTCCTATTCTACACCGCAGTTCTTAACCATTGTGCCTTTCCTGTTAGTCCATGGATAACGGAAGAGACCACACAGAGGAAATGAGATGAAAGGAGATTGTTAGATCTTGTGCCCCGCTGGCTGTTTTTGGTTGTTACTCTCAGGAGGCGTGAAATTTCAGACACGAGAAGATATTGCGTTGTAATTCCGGTAGATCCCCCCAAATACCTAACTTAACCTGGAAAACGTGTAAATATTTGCACTTGTTTCAAGTATGTGTCTCAATGTTTGGCTCTGTAATTTCTAGCAACGGTCTACGTTTTTCTGGAGCAAGAACTGACATGACTATTTCAGGAGCAGGTATAGAGAATGGAAATTCACTCTGTAAAGAAAAGTCCTGGAAAAGATCATAAAGAATATACCTCCTAGGGGTTAATGCAGTGTGTAAGTGAGAGGCAGGGCACTGTGGAGACTGTCAGCGTGGGTGAAGAACGGTCATTAATAGGGAATCTGGTGCCCTTCACAATTACAGCTTCTTCTTTGGCTTAATATAGTTTCCCCTATGGCTATTCTGCAGAGACAGCTTTCTGTAATCGAGTGAAGAAAATGAAACTGCTCTCTTTTTAATTAGTAAGTCATTGTGGCATCAGCAGGAAGAAAAATACCTTGGGGGGCAAGGGACAGGGAGTGCTCCCCCAACACACCTACACCCACTGTGTCTCCCTCATTCAATTTGAGCTCAGGAGGAGAACTTCCACTAAATAGAAAAATGACGACTCAAAAATCTTGTATTGTCACGATTAGTGGAAGGACGGGGAGGATGTGATACACTTCCTCCAAGACGGAGAAAAGCACAGAGCTCTGTACCCCTGTGTACTTTGTACTCTGCAACAGCTGTCTGTCCAGCTGTGTTTTCTGCGATTTCTCCTTCCTGTACCTTTTTTTTTTACTGGATTAAGAAATGCCAGTAACAGTTGCGAGGCAAAGAAAAAGAGGGCCGCATAGGTGCATGCTTCAAAGGCCCCTGTCACGTCCGAGATCCCTCCCTAGAGGGCGCTCCACTGCTCCCATTATTGTTCGTGTGATTAAGCTCTCCAGGTGTACCCTTTTAGTTTTTTTATTTAAAGACCAGCTCCTCCAGTCCTCGGGGCTCATCATTAGGGTAAGATGTCGCGAGGCCCGCCTAGCACCAGGAAACCCTACGTCCATCTCCTGAGGGCATAGGCCTCAT